GAGCGAGGAGGGTATCGGAAACCCATACTATTTACATGGTGTCGTGCCCTTCCCACCCCTCCAGGGAGGCCCCGCCTGAGCGAGGAGGGTATCGGAAACCAATACTATTTACATGTGTTCGTGCCCCTCCCACCCCTCCAAGGAGGCCCCGCCCGAGCGAGGAGGGTATCGGAAACCCATACTATTTACATGGTTTCGTGCCCCTCCCACCCCTCCAGGGAGGCCCCGCCTGAGCGAGGAGGTTGTTGGAAACCAATGTTATGTACATGGTTTCGTGCCCCCCTCCAGAGAGGCTTCACCTGAGCGAGGAGGGTGTCAGAAACCCATACTATTTACATGGTTTCGTGCCCTTCCCTCCCCTCCAAAAAGGCACCGTCTCAGCGAGCAGGGTATCGGAAACCCATACTATTTACATTGTTTCGTGCCCCTCCCACCCCTCCAGGGAGGCCCCGCCTGAGCGAGGAGGGTTTCGGAAACCGGTACTGTTTACATGGTTTCGTGCCCCTCCCTCCCCTCCAGGGAGGCCCCGCCTGAGCGAGGAGGGTATCGGAAACCCATACTATTTACATGGTGTCGTGCCCCTCCCTCCCCTCCAGAGAGGCCCGGCTTGAGCGAGGAGGGTATCGGAAACCTGTACTATTTACATGGTTTCGTGCCCCTCCCTCCCCTCCAGGGAGGCCCCGTCTGAGCGACGATGGTATCGGGCACCCATACTATTTACATGGTTTCGTGCCCCTCCCTCCCCTCCAGAGAGGCCCGGCTTGAGCGAGGAGGGTATCGGAAACCAGTACTATTTATATGGTTTCGTGCCCCTTCCACCCCTCCAGGGAGGCCCCGCCTGAGCGAGGAGGGTATCGGAAACCAATACTATTTTCATGTGTTCGGGCCCCTCCCACCCCTCCAGGGAGGCCCCGCCTGAGCAAGGAAGGTATCGGAAACCCATACTATTTACATGGTTCGTGCCCCTCCCTCCCCTCCAGGGAGGCCCCGCCTGAGCGACGATGGTATCGGAAACCCATACTATTTACATGGTTTCGTGCCCTTCCCTCCCCTCCAGGGAGGCCCCACCTCTCCAGGTTCTCCTTCGTGTTGATGTTGTCGTACCCCATGGGTCCCACGAAACCGTTCATATCTTTGTGTGGGGAACTCCGTTAGCATAATTGATGACCCACGCTGATTACCAACGTGGTCCGCGGGCCCATATGGAGGGGCTCCCGCCTGAGACTTCCTCGCAAATCACCCACAGACGAGGCTCCAGCCCGAGACTTTCTCCAACTTGATGCCCGAGGACCCCAACAGCGACGACAGTTATAAGTTTCCGATGACCCGCTCGGATTACTAATGTGATCTGCGGGCCCCGAAGGGAGAGGGCTTCCGCTTGAGACTTCCTCGCCATTCATTCACAGACGAGGCTCACGCCTGAGACTTCCTCCAAATTCAGGCCTGAGAACCGGAAATAGTTTCCCGGGCGGCCCCCAACTGAGATCCCTTCCAATTCATTCGCAAACGACGATGCCGCCTGATACTTCTTCCACATTCAAGCCTGAGGATCCAAACAGTGACGACACTTACAGGTTTCCGATGGCCCGCTCGGGTTACCAATTGATCTGCTGGCCCCATAGGGAGGAGGCTCCCGCGTGAGATTTGCTCGCAAGTCACTCAGACGAGGCTCATGCCTGATACTTACTCCAAAATCAACCCTGGGGACCCCGAAAGTGGCGACAATTTCACGTTTCCGATGACTCGTTCGGCTTACAAGCATAAGCAGCGGGCCCCATACGGTAGGGGGCTCTCGCTTGAGACTTCCTTTCAGTCCACTCACAAACGAGGCTCCCGCCTGAGATGAGTGAGTGAATCAGCCAGTGAATCAGTGAGTGAATGACTGAAGATGATAATGGTGATGTTGCTGATGGTGAAAATGATGATGCTGATGTTAATGATGATGTTGATGATGTGGGTGATGATGACGACGAGGGTGATGACAGTGATGATGATGATGCTGCTGATGATGAGCGTGTGAATGACTGGGTGGGTGGGTATGTGAGCGAGTGGGTGGGTGAGTGAGTGGGTGGGTGCGTGGGTGAGTGATGATGATGAGTGGGTGAGTGAGTGTGAGTGGGTGAGTGAGTGGGTGAGTGAGTGGGTGAGTGAGTGAATGTGCGTGTGATGATGTGTGTAAGTGATTGAGCGAAGGAGTGTGCGACTAGAGAAGAGCAGAGGGTGTGGTCTCCTGCGCGGGGTGTGTGTGCTGAGAAATCAAGGAACCCATTTTGGAGGGGGGGGCCGAGAAACCCACTTTGGATGTGGGTGTTCCTGTGTTCCTGCGCGGGGTGTCCGGAGAAAACCAGAAACCCATTTTGGATGTAGGTAAAACCAATCGAACAAAACAATGGTTTCGGTCTTCTCGCCTTTTCGCTTCCGGTCGTCTCGGGAGGCGTCAAGATAGCCCCAGGATGGTTCCATAGAGGCCCACGCCGAGGCCCACAGAGGCCCAAGGCTGGCCGAAGAAGGCCCAAAGAATCGAAATTCAATGAAAACCCATTGGGAAATCAATGTTTTTGGCCTTCTCGCCTTTTCGCTTACGATCGGCTCTTGAGGCGCCAAGATATTCCCAGGACAGCTCCACATGGGTCCCCAGACAAGCCCCCAATAGGCCCGAGACTGGCCGAAGAATGCCCAGATAATTGAAAATCAATGAATGAAAACCCATCTTGCAACAAAACACTGTTTTTGGTCTTCTCGCCGTTTCGCCTACGATCGGCTCCTGAGGCGTCGAGATAGCCCCAGGACGGCTCCAAATGAGTCCCCACAGGAGCCCCAAAGAGGCCTAAGGCTTGCCTGAGAGGGACCCGAAAACTGGAATACCAGAGAATACCCAACACGCAAGACAGGCCCGAGGATTTGAAATTCTAAACGCTTCGCGTATCCCCACCAGCCTACGCCGTCGACGCGGCCCTGGCCCAGCCGACCTGGCAGGTCTACGCCGTCGACGCGGCCCTGGCCCTTGTCGCCCCCTGGCGACTCGACCAGTGTGTACCTAGCCTTTCCCCACGAGCGTGTCTGTGAGGATCGCGCGTGCAGGTTATCCCACCTGTCCCGACATGCGCCTCCACCGGACTGGACTGACGCCACAACGCGTAACACAGAATTCCCTGGCATCTTGCCGCAGGGCTGCACGATGCCCGAGCTTCCCTGGGCGTTGCAGTTCAGCCAGCCAGCCCCCCCGCCGCCGCTGCCCCAGCTGCTGCTTTTGTGAGCTGGCCCAACCGGCTCGTGCTGCGCTCAGCAGCTAATTAGGTTCGCCCGTCGGCCCGGACTCCCTGTTCACCGCCTGCGCTCTTCGCTCGCGGCCGCGACCAAACAAAGTATCCCTACCAGCCCGTCCAGAAATGAAATGAGCCCCAGGGGAGTGGAGGTGATGAGGGAAGCGGGGTAAGCCGCCATATGCCCCAAGAGGGGGAGGATGTAGGAGGAGTCGTCGTCGTCGGAGTAGGAGGAGGAGGAAGAGGAGGAGCAGGAGGATGAGCAGGAGGAGGAGGGGGAGGAGGAGGAGGAGGAGGAACATGAGAAGGAGGAGGTGGAGGAGGGCGAGGACGTGAAGGACGAGAAGGAGGAGAAGGATATGGATGAGGAGGAGGAGGAGGAGGAGGAGGAGGAGGAGGAGGAGGAGGAGGAGGAGGAGGAGAGGGAGGGGGAGGAGGGAGGAGGGAGGAGGAAAACAAAGAGGAGGAGGAGGAGGAGGAGGAGGAGGAGGAGGAGGAGGAGGACAATGGCGAGCTTGGGGGCCTCTTGGGCCGTCTTTGAGGCCTCTTGGCTGTCCTGGGGGCCCCTTGCGTATCTCGGGGAACCTCTTGGGGCCTCTTGGGGGTCTGCTGGGAGCCTCTTGGAGGCCTCTTGGGCACCTCTTGGGCGCCTCTTGGGGCCCCTTTGGGGCGCTCTTGGGGCGTTTTTTGGAGCCTTCGGGGCGCTCTTGGGGCCATGTTGGAGGAGATCTATGAAAGAAGAGGGGGGTGGGAATTAGCGCTGCCCCTCTAGAACGCCTCTTGGGCCCCAGAAGAGGCCAAACTCCTTCCAAAACCTAGGGGAATCACTGCTTGTTTGCTTTCCCGCCTTTTCGCTCTTGGAGCCGTCTTGGACGCCCCAACGACCCGCGGACCCCCCCGTCCAGGTCCAGGGGAGGGGGTAGGGGGATGGGTAAACGCCTCCCCGAAGGGGAAAAAGGGGGTTGGAAAAGGAAACTCTCCAGACCACCGACGCCCAGAGGGCTGGTGGGATTCGTTTGGGGGGGAGAGGGGTGTCAGGGGGGGTGCGCTCTTTCCGGGGTCCCTGGCCTTATAACACTATATGAATATAGGAAAATGTGTATATAGTGCCTGGAGCAGACGAGCAACAAAGAAAAACGGGGTTGCCCGTGCCGACATCCACGCGGGAGCTGCCCGCGCAGGGTCGTGCGTAAGCGCCCTCGCTTCCAGTGTAGCGTGCCGCGCTGGCGGCCCATGTCAGCTGCGGCATAAGGTCTCGCTATGCCATCTCGCGTAAGGCCCATTTCTTTCCGTTGCTCAGATGGGGCCAGGTCAGACCGCATCGGCGATGCGGCGCCGTCTGTAGTCTGATTCTCCAAGCGCCGCTGGTGCATCAGCGATGCATCGGCGATGCATCGGCGATGCGGTGCGATTCTCTGTCCTTCCGATCCCAGCCCCACTTATGGGGACACGAAAGGAAACCAATATCGCTGTTCCCCGGACCTCTCACAGCGGATACAGCCGTGGCCACGAGGGCCTCCAGGAGGCCCCCCAAAAGGCGAACACGAGACAGGGGCAGCGGCATCGGTACCTGTGCGAGTTCTTTTCCAATGCGGGATTCCTGAAAGTCACGACCCTTCCACCAAGGCCAGTGCTTCATCGAGTCATTCGGTTGACGGTCCCTGGGTCGTCGAAGGTTCCCCCCGGGCCGAATCAGGTGTGCACCGGCATCGGTGGCCCCGTTTGGGAGGCCTCCAGGTCGCCGACGCAGTGCGAGGTGTCTGACCATGGACAGCACTGCGACGGTGTCGACGAGGGAGCCGTCGCCGTACGAGGCGCCGCGCGGCGTGTCCGACGAACAGCTCTGGGCCGACATGGCGGAGTGGCGCCGGCGGCGCGAGCGGCGGCGCGAGCAGCGCTGCGGCGCCTCCGCGGGCGTGAGGCGCACGTACGGCGTGTGGCTCCGCGAGCAGACCGAGCAGGTGGCCTCGCGCCCAGTGGGCAGCCTGGGCCTCCGCCTCCGCCGCCGCCTCCGCCTCCGCCGCCGCCTCCGTCGCCTCCGCCGCCTCCGCCGCCTCCGCCTCCGCCGCTTCCGCCGCCTCCGCCTCCTCCGCCTCTGCCTCCGTCTCCACCGCCTCCGCCGCCTCCGCCGCCGCCTCCGCCGCCTCCGCCGCCTCCGCCGCCTCCGCCGCCTCCGCCGCCTCCGCCTCCTCCTCCTCCTCCTCCGCCTCCTCAGACGTGTGCGCGCCGTGGCAAGGAAAACAATGAGCCCGACGGTCGCGGGGTCTGTCTGGGGGGCCGCTTTTTTCCGGCCCCTGTGGGCTCCCGCGCTGGGCCTTCATGGCCGTCGTCAGAGAGCGGCTCCAGCTCTGGGGGAAAGGGTCGAGACTTCTGGGGGCCCTTTTTGGCCGAAGTCAAGACATCGCATGTCCTGGGGCGACTACGGCAGGTTCGCGTCGCCTCGACTGGCGTCGTCCCCGCCGCCGGCGTTCCACGCTGAACGCCGGCGGCGGCCCAGAATCGGTCGATGTGAAACGATCTGACGTTTCGGTTCACGGCCGATCGTGCAAGGCTGAACGATCCCCGCGGTGTCAGGAACCAACGCCGAAATCGGCATGACACGAACCTGCCGTGCCTTGTGTGGTGAGTCCAGTGGGGATTCGGATTGGCCTCACAGTTTCGGGCTGTGATCTCGTCCTCCGAGGACGTCTCGGGCGGCCGCGGCCTGTCGAGGCCCCAAGTCCGTGCGGTGACTGGCCGTGCGGTGATGTCCTCTGGGATGCCGATATCACCACACGGTCTGCCACCGCACCCGAGGCTGGGCGGCGTGCGAGCTGAGGCGGATCTGCACGGCGGCCCCCATGTTCATCGTGCCCTCGGGTGCGACTCCTGGGGAGGGGGAGATCTTCAGCGTCGGCTGCCGGGTGATGATATCCGAGGCTGGTCAGCAGTTTTCCATGCGAGTCTGGTAGGCTTTGTGCATTGTGGTCCCAGTCACTCAGGTGGGGCGAAAGCAGGA